AATGGCATGAAACTAGAATTGAACAAGAAGAAATTGAGAAGACCTACAAATATGTGGAAATTAAACAACATACTTCTGAACAAACAATGGGTCAAAGAAATAATCAAAAGAGTAATAAAAATTATCTCAACAAGTGAAAAATGGAAATATATCAAATATTATGGGATGCAGAAAAACAGTTCTGAAAGTTTATAGCAATAAATACATATACTAAGAAACTAGTAAGATCTCAAAAAACTACACCTCCATGAACTAGAAAAAGAACAAATTAAGTTCAGGGGCAGCAGAAGAAAATAATAAAGATCAGATTGGAAATAAAAAAAAAATAGAGACCAGAAAAAAACAATAAACAGGATCAATAAAACTAAGAACTGTATCTTTGAAAAGAAAAAATTGGCAAACCTTTATCTAAACCAGGAAATAAAAGAAGACTCAAATATTAGAAATGAAAGAGGAGACATTATAACTGGTACTACAGAAATATATAGGATCATAAGAAATTCCTATGAAAAATTATATGCCAACAAATTACATAACCTAGAAGAAATGAATACATTTCTAGAAACGTACAACCTGTACCAAGACTAAATCAGGATGAAACCGAAAATCCGAACATACCAATAGAGATTGAACTACTGATAAACAAAACTCATAACAACAACAAATCAAACAGGATGAGACAGCTTCACTGGTGAATTCTATCAAACATTTGAAGAATTAACACCTATCTTCCTCACACTCTTCCAAAATATCAGGGAGGAAGGAACAACACTTCCAAACTCATTTTACGAGGCCCGCTCTACCTTGATACCAAAATCAGGTAAAGATACCACAACAAAACTATAGACCAACATCTCTGATGCATATAGATGTAAAAATTCTCAAAATATTAGCAAATCAAATTTAAGAACACATTAAAGGATTATCCACCATGATCAAGTGGGATTTATTCCTGGGATGCAAGGACAGTTCAACATATACAAATCAATATCACATAAATAAAATGAAAGATAAAAATTACATGATCATCTCAATAGATGCAGAAAAATCATTTGATAGCATCCTTTCATGATAAGAACTCATAAAAGATAGGGTATAGAAAGAACATACCTCAACATAATAAAAGCCATATACAGCAAACCCAGAGCTAACATTATACTCAATGGAGAAAAATCAAAAGCTTTTCTTCCAAGAACAGAAACAAGAAAAGAATGCCCATTCTCACCATTCCTCTTCAATAGAGTCCTGGAAATCTTAACTAGATCAATTAGGCAAGACAAAGAAATAAGACATCAAAATTGGAGAGGAAAAAGCAAAATTATTGCTATTTGCTGGTATGATTTTATATATAGAAAATCCCAAAGAGTCCAAAACACACATGCATTGGAACTAATGAATGACTTCAGTAAATTTGCGGGATAAAAAATCAACATACAGAAATCACTTACACTCTTACACATTTAAAGATGAAATTTCTGAAGAAGAAAATATTCCATACATAATAGCATCAAAAACAATAAAATACTTAGGAATAACTTTAACCACGGAAGTGAAAGATTTGTAAACTAAAAACTATAAGAGTTTGATGAAAGATAAAGATGATATAAACAGATGGTAAGACATGTTTATGGATCAGAAGAATTAAATAACGTTGTTAAAAATGTCTGTTCTACCCAAAGCCATCAAAAGATTCAGTACATTCCCTGATCAAAATTCCAATGGCATTTTTCACAGAAATAGATAAACAATCCTAAAATTTGTATGGAAGCACAAAAGACCCCATATAAGCCAAAGCAATCTTAAGAACAAAGCTTGGCAGCATTGCACTCCCTGATTTCACATTATATTACTTTTATAATAATCAAAACAGTATAATATTTACACGAAAATTAACTTAGAATTGATTAGAAACTTAAACATAAGACTTGAAACTATAATGCATGGAAGAAAACATAGGTACTAAACTTATGGACCTTTGTCTCAAGAGGATTTTTTTTATGAACTTGAGCAAGGGAAGTAAAAATAAAAATGTTTTGTTTTAAATGTCAAACTAAAAAGCTTCTATATAGCAAAAGAAACAAACAAAACAAAAAGACAACCAACCGAATGAGAGAAGATATTTGTAAACAATACCTCTGATAAGGGGCTAATATTCCAAAATACAGAGAGCTCATACAACTCAACCACAAAAAGACATCTAATTTAAAAATGGGCAGAGGATCTGAACAGACACTTTTCTCAAGGAGACATACAGATAAATGAAAAGATTCTCAGCTTCATTAGCTATATGGGAAATGCAAATCAAAACTACAGTGAGATACCACCTCACACCTGTTAGAATGACTTGTTAACAGTAAGAAATAAGTGCTGGAGAGGATGTGGAAAAAGGGAACCCTCATACACTGCTGGTGAGAATGTAAACTGGTGCAGCCTCTATGCAAAACAGTATGGAAGTTCCTCAAAAACTTAATGAGAGATATGACCCAGCAATCCCTCTTCTGGGAATCTACCCCCAAAATTTGAAAACACTTATTTGTACAGATATGTACACTCCTTTGTTCACTGCAGCATTATTCACAATAGCCAAGACATGGAAACAACCTAAGTTTCCTTTGACTGATGATTGGATAAAGAAGATGTGGTGTATACACACACACAATAGAATGCTGCTCAGCCATAAAAAAGAAATACTGCCATTTTGTGACAACATGGATCTTGAATCTTGAGAGAATCACACTAAATAAGTCAAACAGAAAAGGACAAGAACCATATGATTTCACTCATATGTGGGATATAAAAAAAAGCAACAAATAAACTCACAGACAATAGTATGGTGGTTACCAGAGGGGAAGGGAGGACGGGAGGAGGGTGAAGAGGGTAAATGGGGTCAAATATATGGTGACAAAAGGAGACTAGACTTTGGGTGGTGAGCACACAAGGGATATACAGATAATATAAAATTGTATACCTGAAACTTATATAATGTTATTAACCAATGTTACTCTAATAAATTAAAAAAAAAAATTTTTAATAAACCCACCACCACCACCAGTATGGTATTGGCATAAAAACAGACACATAAATCAATATAACAGAATAGACTGCCCAGAAATAAACTCATGCATATAAGGTCAATTAATTTATGACAAAGGAGCCAAGAATATACAGTGGGAGAAAGGACAGTTAATAGTGCTGAGAGAACTGGACAGCCACGTGCAAAGTGAAACTGGATGACTATCTCACACCATACACAAAAATTTGCTCAAAGTGGATGAAAGACTTGAATTTAAGACCAGAAACCATAAAACTCCTAGGAGAAAACATAGGCAGTAAGCATCTTGACAGTGTTTTTAGAGATGATTTTATGTATTTGTCACTAAAAGCAAAGGCGACAAAAGCAGAAAATAAATGAATGGGATTATATTACACTAGAAAGCTTCTGCACAGCAAAGAAAACTATCAGCATCACAGTGAAAAGGCAACCTACTGAATAGGAGAAAATGTTGACAAATCATATCTGGTAAGGGTTAATATCCAAAATACATAAAGAGCTCAGACAACTTAATAGCAAAATATCTACCCGATTGAAAAATGGACAGAAGATCTGAATACTTTTTTTCCAAGAAGATATACACATGGCCAACAGGTACATGAAAAAGTACTCAATATCACTAATCAGGGAAATGCAAATCAAAACCACAATGAGGTATCATCTCACACCTGGTAGAATGGCTATTAAAAAGATAAGATATAACAAGTATTGGCCAGGTTGTGGAGAAAAGGGAACCAACCCTGCACAATGTCAGTAGGAATGTAAATTAGCCAGTTTGGAAAACAGTATGGAAATTCCTCAAAAAATTAGAGAACTACCATATGATCCAGCAATTCAACTTTTGGGTATTTATCCAAAGAAAACAAACACTAACTTGAAAATATATGTACACCCCCAGTTCATTGCAGCATTACTTAACAATAGCCAAGATACAGAAATGAGTGAAGTGTCCATATATGGATGAAAGGATAAAAATGTGATGTATATATACACAATGGAATATTACTCGGCCATAAAAAAGAATGAAATCTTGCCATTTGCGACAACTTGGGTAGACTTTGAGGGCATTATGATAAGTGATATAAGTCAGAGAAAGACAAATAACATGATCTCACATGTGAAATCTGAAAAAAAAAAAAACAAAGGAAAAAACAAGCTCATAGATTGATGGTTGCCAGAGGCTGGGGTGGGTCAAATGGATTAAAGGGGTCAACAGGTACAAAATTCCAGTTATAAAATAGATGGTGACTATAGTTAATAAGTTGATCTTAAAAGTTCTCATTACAAGAGAAAAGATTTTTGTAACTATGGTGACAGATGATAACTAGACTTATTGTGATGATCATTTCATAATATTTACAAATATCAAATCATGTTGTATACCTGAAATATTATATATCAATTATACCTCAACAAAAAACCAAGATAACAAGAAACTGGACTGAGAATTAAGTTGCTCATGCCATTAATTTCAAATAGATTAATTTGCTTATCATCTAATTTTAGTTACAAAAAGTTATATGATCAACCCTTGAATAAAAAATAGAAAGCATAACCCTATGTGCTGAGTGGATTAGCTGGCCAGCAATGCCCTCAAGTACAAGAAAAGGATGAATCACCATAGAATGAACAGTACCATCCAAGAACACCTATGTATTTTTTTTTTTTCTTAAATTACTCTGGCCTTCCAAAAAAAAAAAAAAAAAGCCTAGAGTTAAAAATTTTAAATCACTTAAGGTTATTTATAGCTTATAAACTTGAAAGGGGGAGAATTCATAGTGTTTTGGCTAAATGAAAAAGATACTTAGAAAGGATCACCTTACTTTCCCCCACTGACTGCAATCTTTTGCCCCTTTAATTCTGAGAAGCCCATTTCCTTATAATGGTTAATCAGTTTTGATATTTAATCCAGCAAAGAGCTCATCGATAGTTTTGTTTTCTCTTTTAGGCAAAGGAGGAAATCTCCAAGCCAAAAGCTGATGAAAAAAATAAGAGTTAAAGTTCACATTATTTGGTAAGTTGGTGTTTGTTGTAAATGAAGCCAACCGTACCTTCTACCAACCTGTTATAGGTGAGAGAAGCTAAATCTATTTCTCTTTATACTATTGGCATGAAATGCACATCACAAACTCTAGAGAGTAATTCACTGAAAAGCACTGAATGGGATGATTATGGTACTGGAATGTTTAAAAATCTTAATCTTATAATTAAGAGCTCTTTAAAATATTAGTCCAGGCTTTTAAAGAAAATGACCATTTAGAAGATCTATTGACTCTATGAAACCCAAATGCTCATGATTGCAGGTTACTGCAGCAAAGCAAATTAGCATGTTGTGTTGTTACCTCTTGTAGTGAAATATATATTGATAATCCCTAAAATACCAACACATGGTGGGTTGAGAGAAGTAGAGTCTGGTGGAATTACAGGTTTTTTGGTGGACAAGGGCAAAGGAAAAGATTAATAGCTTTTGTTTTGAAAAGTAAAATACTATGTTTGATTCTACTTTATGTGACTGAAGAGCTCCTATGGATGAGGGAATCTTATTCTAAGCCATAATAAAAAGCTTATGACTGTTTGCCAACCAAAAGCCTAACGTATAACAAAATGTAGGTTAAAATGGGTTAGGCTCTCTTACCATGATCTTTTTTTATTTCCTATAAAGTGGGAGGATACTAATTAGAACTGCTCCAAAGATTTTCTCCAAAGTTAAAAAATAAAAAGATTTCTATTAATAATCCACTCATATTTACTTATAGGAAATTCATTCTTGTTATACAGTACTCCTGCTAAATGTTATATTTACTATACCTTGTAACCCCAAAATTTACACATCAAGTGATTCACTGGATTTTTTTCATTGACTTTTTCGAGGTATCTGTACATAAAACCTTCGGCTGGCGGATGGTGACTTTTGAAGAACTTTGGCAACAGAAAATTTTCTGGGTGGCTTCTAGACAGTGGTATTTGTTGAGTCTTTTGACAACCTAAACATTGGTCTGTTATTCTTTTCCCAGAAAAAAATTGAATTTGCCTGGTTCAACTGCGCTATTGTACTGAGTATTGATAAACTGAATTTTTAAAAATTGCTCTCAGTTGGGAGAGAAAGGAACTTTATATTTCTAAGAGATATTTGATAGTTTCTTAAAGCAACACACAAAAAAGAAGAAAAACCTTTGCAAACTTTTGCACATTCTACACATAGTGCCTGTAAATCTCATCAGTATTTTCAGTTTGCACTTAATTTTTTTTGTTGTTAGCATTTGGAAAACAATGCTTTAAGCATTCTTTAATATTCTGATTTCTCATTATCCCTTTCTCTTGGGCTTTTGAACTGTATTTGATGTTTCTTTGGGTTTATGTTTATAAGTCAAACAAAAAATGTTGTACAATGGGCACATATCTTCTCTTGGGCTGCTATATAATAAATTAATAACCTGGACAGACCAGGAAGCACCACACCCCTTTTCAGGTCTAACTCTTTGTCAGAGGCTAGGACTTCTGCACCTTACAGCCAGCACAAAGCAAACAGACTTGAATCAAATCAGAAGAACATAATACAGATTATATGTCACTGCATAGAAAGTTCCAAGAATAATAAAATCTACTACTTAGAATATTCATATTGCTTGAACATTGTTGGTTTACTGTGTTAAGCTGTGCTTTCCATTCTCTCCATATAAAACCTGACAGCAATTGTTTGCTTAGAGCCATTGCCACACCAGTCTCTGCACTGTATAGCATCTTTGGCTTTATGGAAGTTAGGTTTACAAGTACAAAACCAAACTTCTGCTTTAAAAAAAGAAATCTGAAATTTAAAAATTTGCTTTTCCTCCCCACAGCAACTTAAGAACTAGGCCCTGATATCCTACAATTTTGGATTCTCAGATCTTTCTGAATGAATTGGTTATGAACATAGCACTGATGTCATTGATGGGATTTTGATAAGTATTTAATTTCATCTTTACTTCCTGGTAATGAATACAGGAAAAGACATCAGGTACATATCATAAACTGATCTGGAATCTGTTTCAGAGGGCACGGCCTTCCTTAGCATCTGTTTAAAGGTCTTATTTATTAGGACTTACTGACTTCACTAAATATATCACCAATATACTATGTAATGCGGGCTGGAGGGGCTAGCAAAAATAAATTTGTAATGGGCATCAAATTTTGTTGATACGCTCTAAAAATTCTCTTTAAAAATCATGGACATACCTATGGGATTTCAAACATCACCCACTTTAAATTCTGTGTCTCTATCACATCAGAGATGTATTTTTCTGATTCTAAATCTAGGAAATATAGGCGAGTATTATGGTGCCTAAAGAGGCCTTTTCAAAGCACTGACCGAAAAAAAAAAAAAAAGAAAAGAAAAACAAAAAACACGTTTCCAGAGGAATTTTAACTATGTATCTAATTCTTCCATTTGGATAGTGTAAAGTGTTTTTTGATTGTTTAAAAAAGAAGTGAAACCTTTGACATTGACAGATGTATTTGCAAGGATATGGCTGCAGTATTACTAACTTCCATGCATATATAGAAGTATTTTTAAATGACATACCAAAATCCAGAGATTTCAGAAATGCCTATATAAGGTAAAAATGTAAGGTACTCCGAATATGCGTTTTTGTTCATTAGGAATGTCTTTAAGACTTGGGTGTTTGCTGGTAATTAATGATGACCTGAGTAAGTGATAAGATCTAAATCAGTCCTTTCTTACCCATCTAATTAGGAGGAAATAACTCAAATATATGCTTACAGGAAAATAAAAGACAACTTTTTATTAACAAAAAAGGGTTTTGCACATTGTTGTGGCAATATTGTATCCAGTTAGGAAATGGACTTATCCAAAGACAAATGAAAATAGGTTCTTCAGGTGACCAAAACTGAAAATCACTATTACCATGTTTCATTAGTTAAGATACAAAATATAATTAAAGAAAAATATTTTACATTAAAATCTTGGCTTTGTATGTTTTTTTTTAGAAGGAAAATACCTAGGGGTGGAAATTACCAGTGATTTGTTTTTATTTCTCAAACAATTAAACCATGCAATATTTATAAAAATGGAATTATAAGCACATTTATGTTCAAAAAGGTCACTATTCCTAGTGAATTAGTATACATTTTGACATTTTTCATCATATTTCTTTACCTTGAAAATTCTGCAGTATATTTAAAACTCACAAAGACTTCAATTCAAAGACAATACATTATCTTCACTTGAAGTAATATAAGCAAGTGTTTTCAGTTTCACAATGCATCATCATTTACTGGAGCCTCCACAATGATTTATTGGCAATAAACGCCAATAACAAGTTATTCAGGAATTATAAATTAGGCCAAATAACATGTAGGTAGAGGAATCCCACCTACCTAAGGATTAACAGCTCTCAGGTCCAACTTCAAATGAAAGGTTTCTCCTCTAGACCTGAATTTTACTCTGCTGTTTCAGAAGGGACACTATCAGTCAGGGTCCCTGAGGAAATAGATGACACACTCAAGTTAGGATTGTCTGAGGAGGGTTCTACAAAAGGTTTTTGTTTTTTGTTTTTGTTTGTTTTTTAAACAAACGTAGGGGCAAGGATATATGGGAACCACAAATACAGCCAGGACTAGTAACAACCAGGCTCTCACTTCACCCTTCATCTTGAAGGGATGAGATGAGGAAGCAGTTACTAAGATGTAGAGATGGAAAACGCATGGACAAGAAGGCCACTCCCCTCAGAGCTGAGACCTTCAGTAGAAGCCAGTCTGAGGGGACCTGCAAGGGAACTAGGGAAATAAACACCCCACCTCCTCTTACTTCCACCCCAGCTCCATCTGCCTTCCTGCAAGACCGACCAAGAGGGCAGGAAAGCCCGATGATGTGGCCTACAAGTAAGAAAGCAGACCAGGCTTGTTCCAGCTTAGTCACTGATCTGGGTGGTCACTCACTGTTCAGTAGTCTCCACTGTTCAAAGTGTTCCGAGAGGGCGGACAAAAGAGCTTATGAATGACA